CTTGGGAAACTGGGAATGGAACCACCATTTGACCCAGCTATCCCTCTCCTCAGTCTATACCCAAAGGACTTAAAAACAGCACACTACAGGGACACAGCCACATCAATGTTTATAGCAGCACAATTCACAATAGCTAAACTGTGGAACTAACCTAGATGCCCTTCAATAGATGTATGGATAAAAAAAAATGTGGCATATATACACAATGGAATATTACTCAGCAATAAAAGAAATAAAATCATGGCATTTGCAGGTAAATGGATGGAGTTAGAGAAGATAATGCTAAGTGAAGTTAGCCAATCCCCAAAAAAACAAATATCAAATGTTTTTGATGTAAGGAAGCTGACTCATAGTGGGTTAGGGAGTGGGGGAGCATGGGAGGAATCCACAAACTCTAGATAGGGCAGAGGGGTTGGAGAGGAAGGGAGGGGGGCATGGGGTTAGAAATGATGGTGGAATGTGATGGACATTATTATCCAAAGTATATGTCTGAAGACACAAATCGATGTGAATATTCTTTATATATAACCAGAGATATGAAAAATTGTGCTCTATATGTGTAATAAGAATTTTAATGCATTCCACTGTCATATATAAATTAAAAAATTAATTTAAAAAAGCAATAAGAACATCCTTGTAAGCCCAGGTTGAGGCAGGAGGATTGCAGATTTGAAGCCAGCCTCAGCAATTTAGAGAGGCCCTCATCAATTTACAGAGAGACACTGTCTCAACATAAAAAATAAAAAGGGCTGGGGATGTGGCTCAGTGGTTGAGTGTCCCCCAGTTCAATCCCCAATACCAAAATAAAACAAAACAAAAATATTAAAAAAAAAAAAAAAAAAAAAACTTTTCTTTCCTCACAACTTAAGATTAAGGCCATTTTTAGCATTTTTTATTTTGGGGAGCTGTGTACCAGGGATTGAATTCAGGGGCACTCAACCACTGAGCCACATCCCCAGCCCTATTTTGTACTTTATTTACAGACAGGGTCTCACTGAGTTGCTTAGCCCCTCACTTTTGCTGAGGCTGGTTTTGAACTCAAGATCCTCCTGTCTCAGCCTCCCAAGTCCCAAGCCTCTGGGATTATGGGTGTGGGCCACCGCGCCTGGCTTAAGAACATTTTTAAACCAAAGTGTTGTATCTATTTTTTTTTACTCAAGCTTGCCATAAAGAAGTTAGGCTATCAAATTTGAAGTGTTTTCTTGATTGCAGTCTAAAATTTTGAGAATGCTAATGTTTGTGTCTCTTCTCTCCCTCTCCACGCTCCCCCCTCCCTTCCTGTACTGGGGATTGCATCCAGGGCTTCGCATCTGACACCAAGCTACACCCACAACCCTCTTATCTCATTCTTTTGGCTATAAAACTCTTAATAAAGATAGTATTGATTGCAAAAGGCATGATCTTAGCAGAGAGAAATTTTCTCCCAAACTAGAATAATACATTTACGTGACATTTTTATGCTGCAGAGTTAAATTTGCATAATTAAAGATAAAAGTACTTGATCCAGCTTGACACAGTGGTGGGTGCTTGTAGTTCCAGCTATTGGGAGGCTGAAGCAGAAGGATCACTTGAGCCTATGAGTTTGAGGCCAGCCTGGGCAACATAGTCAGACCCCATCTCAAAAGAAAAAGAATGCCTGATAAAAAATGATTTTTATTCATAATTTTTGTTATACATTCTATCTAGTAGCTATTATTATAATAACCCTGCTTCACAATTCATTCTGGTACTACTCAATAGTTTTTATTGTCATATATGTGCAGAGCTTGGACTGGGGTTGAGTGACTTAAACTTGGATTGTCTCTGACATGAAGATTGAGTTCAAGTCTTCTCCCCTTGGTTCCCATTCCTTTGTAGGATAGCTGGGACATGTCCTTCTCATGCTAAAGCAGTAGTGCAAGAGGTCAAAGCTCACCATACAAGCCCATTTCCAAACTTTGCTACTCTTAGGCCTATTTACTTCCTATCAAATTTGAAGTGTTTTCCTTTTTTTTAACATTGATTTATTTGTGTATCTTTAATTTTAGGTGGATACATTAGTTTGTTTTTATGTGGTGCTGAGGTTTGAACCCAGTGTCTCGTGCATGTTAGGCGTGCACTCTACCACTGAGCCACCACTTCAGCACCCATTCTTGATTGCAGTCAAAGAAAACATCAGCAGGACAAGGAAAAAAAAATTCTCCCGTAGTGGGAGGGGAGGGGAATGAATATTTGCAGAATAATTTTATAGACTATCATTTAAATTGAATATGCTAATCACCATGGTGCACTCCTGTAAACCCAGGTACTGGGGAGGCTAAGGCAGGAGGATTGCCAGCCTTGGTAATTTAGTGAGACCCTGTCTCAATAAAAAATTAAAGGGCTGGGGATGTAGGTCAGTAATAGAGCAACCCTGACACTGCAAAAAAAAATTGTTAATTAATTAAATGCCATATGGTTATTCATTATGCCCAATGTGTGTGTCTGTATGGGTCAGACCTACTAACATGGCTTAAACCAAGAGTGATGATTAGTCTGTTAATGCAAAACACATCAGGGAAATAATCTATTTATGTAGGAGCAGAGATTTCTGTCCCAGAAACTTGAGAATAAGACAAAGCCCACAATGTCTTCGCAGGAATTTCTAAGGCATGTCACCAAACTCCTCTGACCCAATTTCTGAAACCTGATAGGAGTCTATTTGTGCCTTGCAGTGAATAACAGTCCAAAGATCTTGAGTAATTCATTGTGCAAATATCTAGTAAAACGAGGCTTTTAAGACCCAGCATATAAAATAAGGACATGTAACCAATGCTAATATATTAAAATTTAATTAGTTTCATACTAATTTATTTAAATATCACGTAAGTTCAAATAATTGTTAGTATTTTATCACCTGGTTGGTCGGTTGATTCATATTAGAAACGCTAGTGTAGCAAACTTATTCACCTCTGTATTCCTTTTGTTTTTCTTTTGTTTTGGTGCTGGGGGCCTTGTGTGCTAAGCTGTAAACTACCAACCCCTGGGCTACATCCCCAGCCCTCTGATTTCTTAGCTTAGCACAGTGCTGGTAAGTATGTCTTGTGGGGCAAATCTGGCCCACTGCTTGTTTTGATAAATAAAGTTTTATTGGAATCTAGCTGTGTCTGTTCGTTTATATGTTGTCAATGACTACTTTTACTCTATAAAGGAGGCTTGAGAATTGGCAACAGAAAAGATAAGACCAAGCCAGGGTGGACATAAGTTAAATTATAAAAACTAAAGATTAAAGGAGAAAAAAGTAGTTTAGCAGTTCATGCTGCCTACTTCTTTTCTTAGGGGTGGGGGTACCAGGGATTGAACTCAGGGGCACTCAACCACTGAGCCACATCCCCAGCCCTATTTTATATTTTATTTAGAGACACATTCTCACTCAGTTGCTTAGCGCCTCGCCATTGCTGAGGCTGGCTTTGAACTTGCGATTCTCCTGCTGGGATTAAAGGCGTGCATCACCACGCCTGGCCTATACTGCCTACTTCTAAGAGAACCTTTTGTTCTTCATAACTAGATAACATTATGTCACTGATTCATAAGGGGTTTAAATTAGTTCTATGGGTTAGAACACCAGAATTATTGGTGTCCATTTTCATCTAAGATATTTATTCTCTTAACGTTCTTGGTCCTATTGAAACATTTCAGTATACAAAAATACTGCAATGTTGATACTCAAGAGAAAAGCCATTATCATGTGTATGCTGGTCATTATGATCTGTGTGGTACAATTTTTTAAACTATCATGTCCTTCAAAAACAAAACAAAACAAACAAAATAGACAAGACCACAAAGCCTAAATATTCACTATTTGGCAAACAGTAAAGTTTCTCAGTCCTGAATTAATGTAATATGAGACTGTTGGAATTTTGGAATTTGGGTTATTCACACAGGTCTATGGGTCTCAGATGAATATTATTCTTGAGTTATCCTTAGGGAAAATTATTTGTTAAAGAAATCAGTGATATAAACAAATAATGCATGCAGTTTTGCCTAAAAAAATAATCTTTTAATATTTCATGTTCTAAGCACTCATTTCTAAAACAGTTATAATACCAGTTATAAATTCATATGGGCTGGGAGTGTAACTCAGTGGTACAGTGCATGCCCAATATGTGAGGTAAGACCCTGGGTTCAATCCCCAGCACTGGGGGGAAAAAATGATCTTCTTCGTAAAGTAGACCCTGAGAAATTGAAGTAATTCTTTATTAGCCTTTAAGGAGATGACTTTACTTGTAATACATTGAAAGTCATTACTTCAAACTTTTCACTAAGGCCATCCCAGCTCTATCATGTCTGGGTTAGTGCAGCTTTATTAAATTGTGTTCCTAGGTACTTCAGAACAACAGCACCTGATCTCTTCTTTGAGGTCAGATAGAACAAAACCTTGCATTTTTCCAGATATCCCTTCTTGGACAACTTTAAGAAGAAAGAAACACTAGCTCCCCATGAGATGTGCAGGGAAAATGCATGTAGGTTTAAAAGTGATAGTGAACTCTTAAAAGTGACAATAAACTCTCAGACCTTTCCAGGGGGTGTGTGGAATTGAGAACAGGGAATTATCTGGAGTCATTTCTACTGAGTGTTGACGTAGCTATGTATGCTTCTGGTGTTCTGGGATTCACTTTAAGGCCCATGTGAGACCTCAGTATGAGGCCTGGATGTTGGAGGAGTTCATTCCAACCCCTTCTGCAACATCTGGGGTAGGAACAGAATCTGTAAAATTCAGGATTTTTAAAAAATTGTACCATACTGATCATCACATTTTTGATAATGAAGTCCAAAACTGGAGATTAGATAAAAACAGAAGAGGTGCTAACTGACCATACTTCCAGAAGAAAGCTTTCCCAGTAACCCCCAGGTAGGTAAGCAGCCAAGGGTCACCATCTGTTTCCTTTCATACAGTCTTGGAATCTACCAAAGGACATCTATGTGTCTTTCCATGTCTGCTGAATCCACTTGACTCAAATGGACTTATTTTTTTCCCCCAGGGGTCGGATGGCAAAGTGTGCTGCTAACAGGAGATGAGGAGACAGGCTCAGGTGCCCCAGAAACATCCAGCCCAGACATGACTCTGAAGGTAAGGGATCTTTCTCAGGTGGATCCTCCAAGTGATCCTTAGAGCGATGGAGGCCTATGCAGGCTTCTCTGGGGCAGAATGAGCCTCACCCTCCACCTGCTGGGCTCTCTGTCTCTATTCACTGATGTCTCTCAGTGAGACACCCAGACATAGAATTTCCTGAATTCTGGTACTGAATTGGGAAACCACTTGAATGCCAGAATCTAAGATGCGATTTCCAATGAGCCCGTTGTGGGGTCTTCAGTGAACATCTGTCTGTACGTTGGCTATTTGCAATTGGTAACCCCGGTTGGGACAGTGAAGCAAATCTGAAAATTCTGAGCTGAGAAATCAGGCCCCACTGTGCATTATGAAGAAAGGTCAGAGAGGCATGAAGTAACTTTGATCTCGACTCAAGATTTCCAGTGATGTCAGCGGGAAGGCAGCTCGTGGGCCATTCCAGCTAGAATGCTAATGTCCAAAGGTTTGCAAAATGACTCATCTGGGAATCAACTAAATTATCACTGCTCAAGTTAAATGCATCAAATTGGTAACCATTGCCTAGATTAAGGAACCCATAGTAAAAGTTATCAGAGCCTCGACCACTTCCCTTCTATTACTGGTTTCAACATAAAAGAGTGGGCCTCCTCTATGGAATTCTGTGTTTTAGTAAACAAAGTCCGGGGGTGGGAGATTTGAATGATTAGAATTTTAATATATGCCACTTCTGAATATTTCTTTGAAAAACAGAAAGTAATGTCCCTTTTGAAATTGGGATGTTTCTCTCCTGGAATTATTAGAAGTATACAAGATAAATTAAGTTTTTTTTTTTTTTTGTAACATGCAGGCCGAACTAGTAATGTTATCTATGTTAGAAAGTTCAAGGCAGAAAGTAAAGGTTACCATAGTGAAATTAAATGAAAAACAGGACAGTAGCCTGATTGGTCAAAAAGGCAAATAACCTATATAACAACCATCCAGTGCTGATAATTCATTTTGCCTGTCATTGTGTTTAGCAGGATTTGCAATATTATAAGTTGCAATGGTATATTGGTGCTGTGTTGACTGTTAAGGCAAATCCTGACTAGTTTGAGTCTAGGATTGGTGTTGGGCAAAAGGCAGATGGGTGCCAACAGTGAAACCTGATGAGATTAGATTTGCTATCTCAGAATCTGTTATCTTTTTGAGAAATTTTTTTGGGGGGTGCTGAGGATTCAAACCAATGATCTTGTGTACCCTTAGAGCGATGGAGGCCTATGCAGGCTTCTCTGGGGCAGAAGGAGCCTCATCCTCCACCTGCTCGGGTTCTCTGTCTCTATTCACTGATATCTTTCAGTGAGACACCCAGATATAGAATTTCCTGAATTCTGGTACTAGATTGGGAGGCAAGCACTCTTCTTGGGCTGTATCTCCAGCCCAAGAATTGGTTTTTGTGAGATGTGTTTCTGGTATAGCTGCAGATGTGGTATAGGTGGATAAATAAATGATCAGAAAGATGGGAGTTGGTTTTTATAAAAGCAAATGATACTAGGTGTGGAGATGCACACCTGTAATCCCAGCTACTTGGGAGACAGAAGCAGGAGAATCTCAAGTTCAAAGCTAGCCTTGGTGACATAGCAAGACCCTATCTCAAAATAAAAAAAAATAAAAAGAACTGGGGCTATATAGCTCAAAGTTGGAGCATTTGCCTAGAATGTGTGAGGCCCTGGGTTCAATCCCCAGCACTGTGAGCCCCAACAAATAACAACAACAAAACATTGATCGCAATACAACTTGGTTTATCAGGGCTGGGAATATAGCTCAGTTGGTAGAATACTTGCTTCACATGCACAAGGCCCTGGGTTCAATCCCCAGCACCACACACACACACACAAAAAGAACTTGATTTATCGACACTTCTCAAGGGGAAGAATATCCGCAGAAATTATACCTTTACTTCTTCCACATTGATCTTCTTCTGATAAACATATCTATTTTAATGCTAACAATTATTCTTTCTGAAAAAAATTTTACTTTTTTTTGGCTTTGTTCTTGTTTTTTTTTTTTTTTTTTTTTTAAATCATGATCATCTGAGTCAGGTGAGGTAGCACATGCCTGTAATTCCAGTGATTCTGGAAGCTGTGGCAGGAGGATCTCAAGTTCTAGGCCGGCCAGGGCAACCCAGGGAGACCTTCCTTTTTTTTTTTTTTTTTTTTTGGTAGTAATAGTAAGGATTGAACCCAGGGGTACTTAACCACTGAGCCACATACCACCCCTTTTTATTTTTTTATTTTTTTTTTTTGAGATAGGGTTTCACTAAATTGCTTAGGATCTTGCTAAGTTGCTGAGTCTGGCCTCAAATTTGTGATCTGCCACTGCCTCCCAAGTTACTGGGATTAGAGTCTTGTGCCCCATTTCCAGCTAACCCTATCTCAAAATAAACTAAAAAGGGCTGGAGGTATATAACTCAGTGGTAAAGTGCCCCTGGGTTCAATCCCCACACCAAACCAAACCAAACCAAATAAACAAAAATATCATAATTAACTGAATGTAGTTTTGGCTACTACTTGTAGTGTTTTAATACCAGGTCTTATTTTGAAATAGCAAAGTCATGCTTCTAAAAATATATACAATGCAGATAAGTGAAATCTTAAGCAAACCTGTCATTCTAATGAATATTAATAATAAGAGTATATATATATATTATTTTTTAGTTGTTGATTAACTTTTATTTTATTCATTTATTCATATGTAGTACTGAGAATCAAACCCAGTGCCTCACACATGTGAAGCAAGCGCTCTACCACTGAGCCACAACCCTGGCACAAGAGTAGTTATATTTAAAACACCTTCTAAACACATTGAAGTAGGTAGGCACACCACATGGGCCTGCCTGACTTTGTTTTTTGAGGTGCTGGGGTCCAATTCAGGGCCTTGCAAGCATTCTGCTACTGAGCTACATCGCAGGCTTCTTGACAGTTTTAAATGATTCGGCTTAGTGAGTTGAATTGCAAAACACCACTCCCCCACCCTCAAAAAGATATGTCCAAGTCCTAACTCCTGGTACCTATGAATGTGACCTTATTTGGAAAAATAGTCTTTGCAGATATAATTAAGAATGTTGAGATGAGATCACTCCACATTAACTGGGTGATGTTAAATCTAATGACTTGTGCCCTAATAAAATAGAAGGAAGTGGATATGCATGGAGAAGGCCTTGTAAGGAGACAGAGACAGAGATTGTAATTCTGCAGCCCAAGCCTAAAACCCAAAGGAGGGTTGGGAGTGTCAGTCAGTGGCAGGGAGCTTGCTCAGTGTATGCAGGGCCCTGGGTTCCATCCCCAGCACCGCCCCCAAACCCCCAAATGAACAAACAAATGGAGTCACCAGTAGCCAGAAGAAGCAAGGAAGAAGTCTCCAGTAGACCTCTTGAGGGAACATAGCTCCGCTCATATTCTGAACTGTTGGCCTCCAGAACTGTGAGAAATAAATTTCTGTTGTGTCAAGTCACCAAGTTGTGCCACTTAGTTATGGCTGCACTAGGAGACTAATACTAGGACTTTTCCAAGAGTCACTCCGACTTTTTTGTGTGTTTGTTTGTTTCAGTTGCTATCTATGTATTTTGAAGTGTTAGGAACGGAACCAGGCCTTGTCCAAGCACTCTACCACTGAGCGCCACCCTGTCCTCACCTACTCTTTTGATTACTAAGATCTCTTGCTACTGTCCGATTTCACCCTGCTCACCTTTTACAAAGCTAATTTTACCTGCTCTTGTTTTAGGAGAACCAGTAGTCTTTTTCAGTTTGTATCATCACCACTCACTAGAAGAAAAAGGTAGTCATATTTCAGGGCAGCTTCTTTTGTATCATATTCTGTTTTGCTGCTTGTTCAGACACTGATAAACTAAATAATGAAGAAATAAAAGGTATGGATCAGTATTTTGTTAAACTTGCCAGACTGTGAAATCACCTGCAGTGAAAGGAGGAAAGAAAGAAGGGGGTGGGGATGCAGTTCAGTTGGTAGAGTGCTTGCCTCACATGCACAACGCCCTGGGTTCAATCCCCAGAAAAGAAAACTTTCCAGGCTCCTTTCAACAGAAAATCTGAGCTTAAGAATTAGTACCTTTTGGGGGAGAATCAGGGCTGAAGATCACCCCAGGGCCTGCCTCATACTAGGCAAGTGTTACTGCTGAGCTCCATCCTCAGCCCCAAAAATTAGCCAATATTTTTGGACAGCGGGTACCTGGGATTGAACCAGAAGTGCTTCACCACAGCACCACATCTCCAGCCCTTTTTATTTATTAATTTTTATTTTGAGACAGGGTCACACTAAATTGTTTAGACCCTTGCTAAATTGCTAAGGCTCGCTAAATTGAACTTGTGATTCTCCTGCCTCAGCCTCTGAAGTGTTGGGGGCATTACAGGCGAGTACCACTGCACCCAGCTAAAAAGTAGCATTCTCAAATGCTAAGTGTGTCTACAGTTCCAGCTACTTGGGAGGCCGAGGCGCAAGAATCACTTCATCCCAGAAGTTTGAGACCAGACTATGCAATATAGCAAGACCTCATCACAAGAAAGAAAGAGAGAGAGAGAGAGAGAAAGAGGGAAGGGAGGGAGGGAGGAAGGAAAGGCGAGTTAGCATTTTTTCTAAGGCTTGATTGCTTCTGGAATAAGCATCCTGCTGACCTTGCCTCTCTAGTTGTCCAACTTATTACCCGAGACAGGATATTTTGAGTCCCCCACCTCCAGCGCCAGGTGACATGCAAATTCCTGAAGCATTCCATATTTAAAACAAAAGACAAGGGCTGGGGTGTAGCTCAGCGGTAGGGTAACTTACCTGGCCTAGGGCCTATTCAATCCCCAGCATTGCGAAAAAGAAAGAAAGGGGATGGGGGAAAAAATAAAAAAGCATGGCTTTTACTCAGTGCTTCTTGGATCTTCCTCCTCTCCTTCCCTTGGTTAATTTTCTTTGGTTCAAATATTCCCTCCTCCATCAGCACTTTCTGACCAGCATTGCTGGTCCTTCTCCTCCATAGCCAGACA